CCACAAGTGCTTCATATATTGATCCAAGTGATAAATCATTACATGAGCATGTTAACGATTTATATTTGGGTGGACGTTGCATGAGAGAGTTATACTTGCTTCCAATCGGGGAAAATCACGTTAGATTTAAAACAGATTGTTTGAAATTCTTAGTTAAGTTCAATGAGTTGTGCTTACAAATAAAAAAAAAGATTCCCGTTAGAAGAAGATGGCATTGTTGCAAATTTACATATATTAGATCCCGCAGCCTCAAGAGATATTACAGAATCTCCCAGTTCCATAGTGAACGTAGCACAGAATTTTCCCCATCTTGTTCCTGAGGATGTTCTTGACAAACTCGACGATGAATGGAGGCTCTTTCGGCAGTTTAGCGATGTATCTTTAAAGTACACTTCAGTCCTTGGCTTCTGGCATTCACTGCGTAACATTAAAGACGGGATGAATCAACCAAAGTATGGAACTCTGTCTAGTTTTATGATAAATCTAACTATATTGCCTCACTCATCCGCTTGTGGTGAAAGGATTTTTTCGCTCGTTAACCACGTTAAAACGAAGCAAACAAACTCGCTTAAAACTGAGACAGTGGCAGAAAGATTATTAGCACTGCAGTTTCTTGCGAGGAAGCAACAGAATTGCTACACATGGAAGCCGAAACAAGAGTTGGTGAAAGACGTTGTAGATGGAACCTGCTTCCATATGATATGAACAGCGTCCTAAACAAAAAAAAAAGAGAGAACATCAATTTAGCAGCAGGCGAATACTTATAATTCCATCAGAAGTAAGTAAAATTACAATGTTTTTGATGAAATTTGACGTCTGGGTTTTTTTCCCACGAAATCTGCAGAATCTGGGTGTTTTTCAGCAACCATCTAAGTTTTTCTCAAATTGTTGGCTGGGAGCCCTGGATTATAGACGTCAGATACTATGCCGATCCCGACTTGCGTCCTGGTTCCTCTTATAGGATTTTGACTCGGACGCCAGGGTAAGCTGCTGCTATGGTGGTGAAATTTAGATTGGAATACTTGATGGAATATCGTGATTTTTGTGTATATAACGACTTGTCATGCGTAGATATTTACTTTGTTTTCTGTTGTAGGATCGTGTGTTATTTTCAGATCTCAATACTCTAGCTCTCTCCTCGCATTTTGCTCTCATCGCACTTTAACTTCCTCCGCATTTAACTTGTTAGTTCGTTCATATGTCGCACCTCTGTAAATCATTAGTGTTATTTGTTTATATTTATTTGCCGTTTATCTTTAATAAACTTAAAACGTTTATTCGAGTAACTATCCGCTCAGTCCAAGCTCTTGCTGGTAAAACCAATAGGGAAGTTGAATTTAATTTCCGGTCATTGGTGGACGTGACAATTAGACCATCCGAACTTTGAGGTGACGCGATTAATTAGCTATTATTCGAGTTTAGTTCGTCACAAATGTCAATACAGTCGTTTGCGATCACAGTTAACAGTTCATTTCTTTTGTTCAAAACGGAATCAGAGTTCGTGTAGAAACATTTCAAAACTTTTTGTGCACTTCCATCTTGATTTATGAGTAAACTTTCTACATTATTTACATAACTGGATTTATGTTCATTATTTTCCCTATTTAATTGCCTTCCAGCTCCCCTGACTGGCGGCGAGCGGTCGGAGTCCTCGCGTGATATCTTGAATGTAGGTGACCTTTATCCAATGAAAAATCCAATGAACCAATTTATCCAATGAACCAATTTACGTCATGGTTCTGCTAAAAATCCTTCTAATAGGATTCTGAACCATTTTATGAACACGAAGTTGGCTCACTTTCAATGTGAAAAACTACATGATAGCAGGAATGGGTTGCGTGTACCTTCCATCTTAAGATTAATTGCGTGTGCTTTCCAGCAACATGAGATTAATTTTTGACGCGGGATCACCAAAATTCGATCAAATTCTCATGTTTTTTGAAATCATGTTGAAAGTTTTGACGGGTAAAACACTGTAGACTTCATTACACAATTGACTATATAGGCGAGATCAATCTGCAAATGAAGTCGGGAATGCTGAGTTCGAGAATCAGGCGTAAATCTTCCCGGCAAAATGTAGATCAATTCTAGATACTTCGATTTACAAAATTACGAATATTATTTATTTTTATTGCAAAGAGAAAAATTTACTGCCACTACTATATTTTTTTAATTGTAATGAGAATAATTTACTGATCGAGTAAAATACTAGGCCAGCGTGAAATTTCGTGCCGCAGATCAATCTGTGATAAATTTACGGTCATTGTTAACATAACATAACATAGTGATCTCGGCGCTAAAGTGTAGGCCTGATGTGGCCTGTGGCCGATTCTTTTCCTTTTCGTGCCTTGTTCACAGAAGATCTAAAATCGTGTCATTTGACCAGATCTTTTCAGGACTGACGATAGTTTGAAGTAGCTACTTGACTTCCACCGGGTTCGATATGGTGCTAGGCATTTCAAATCTGAACATATATTTTTCCATAGCATTTTCTAGTCTGTTCTTGAACGCGTTCATACTTGGAGCGCCAACGATGTCATCGGGGAGGCTGTTCCACATGTCGGTGATTCGAAGCGAGAAGAAATTTTGTCGCGTTGAAAAATTGCAGCGCAGTTTTTTTAGTTTATAGCCGTGGCCCCTGGTGTTGGTTCTTGTTTCAAATTCTAGTAATCCTTCGGGACTTTGTATAAACTATGAGTATACTATAGGGATGAGTATACTTCACTATAGGGTTGAAAATTTGAACATTGGACAAAGTCAAAAGTTCTACAATATTCGTGAATCTCGCGTTTGCCGTCAGCTGCTGGTAGAATCAGTTGCGAATGGGACAGGTCCGGTAAGGCGAATTGAAGTTCAAATTATTTTAAACCGTGTTTGTTTCAAGATAGGGGCTCGTATGCGCTTGTGATTGCATTTCATTTGAGAAACCCTTTGAATATTTCAGAAGATAAAACCGTCAGTTTGAGTCCGCGGACCCGTATGTACGTTATACAAGGTCCGCCATTTTTATGGCAACGGATGTTTGCTACATAAAAATAAATTGGTTTCTAGGAGACTTTTCTTTTATGATGAAGCTTAATATCATCTATTAATTCATCTATTTTGTATTGCAGAAGTCTAAGGTGGCAACCAGAATAGCAACACCACGTCAAAATCCCACGTTTGGGCCGCGGTAACCGCCACTGGGAGGTCCCCACTCGTTTTTGTCCCCTCATGAGTGAAATTGAACAGTCAGCGAAACATTTCGGACATTGTGGAAGCTGAGATGTTACCTTGGGGCCGTAAACACTTCAACGGCTCGCCATGGAGTTTTCAACAAGACTCTGCCCCATCGCATGGTTCAAACATGAACCAAAACTGGATTCAGGGTAACATCCCAGCGTTTATTAGCAAAAATGAACGGCCCTCAACAAGCTCTGATTTGAATCCACTCGACTTTTCGGTCTGGGCTATTTTAGAGAGTAGGGTCTGCAGAACACATCATGATTCTTTGGATAATTTGAAGTCTATAAAATTGAAACGAGAATGGGACTTGATCCCTCAAGAAATGCTGCTAGTCTCCTGTGAAGCTTTCCATCGTAGGTTAATTGGAGGCCGTCAATAAAAACGAGGGTTGGCTATATTGAATAAATACATTTGAAAATTGTTCAAGTAGCTCTTGCCTATTAGCTCATCCAATAAAAAATTAATTCACCTGTTTGTTTCATTGAGAAATAATAAAAATATGCGTTGCCATAAATAGGGCTGAATCAGGATATTTCATAGATCCTCGATGACTTTGATAATAAATTTTAAAGATAGGTGCCGTTTCTAAAAAACATAAAGTATAGAATTCTAAATAAAATTGACGTAATAAACAATTAAAATAAGATCATCAACCGAGAAGAATTCGAATCAGATCTCTGCATGCAATCTACTGTTTGAATGGTACAACGACTCTGGTCTTTTCTTTTCTCAGCGTACTGTAATTAGTTAAATAATGCGATTAAATGCTATTTATCAACTCGCTTCCGTTTAAAAAGAAATTTTCGTAGGAAATTATCATGTTGTAACGATCAATTATTTGGACAAATCACGAGTGTCCGTTCAGTCGTTTCTGAAGTAGAATAGTTTACATGGCAGTTTAAATTGAACTTGAAATTTCCCTCCAACCAAGGAAATTATTAACGTCACAACGAAGAGAATGATCTCCAAATTTCACGAGTTTTCGTTTAGCCGCTTCTGAAACAGAATCAATATGAAATTTTTTTTTAATTCAGCTTAAATTTCCCTCTAAACCCAGAAATTTATTTACTTCACTACGGCAAAAATGCTGTTTGAATTGCACGAGTATCTGTTCAATCGTCCCTGAAAAATAAATAAAATTAATAACTTTTTTAATGCAACTTGAAATTTCTCTCATACCAGGATATTTATTCACTTTTAAACGATACAAATGCAGGTAAACTTTCACGAGTGTGCGTTCAATCGTTTATAAATGTAATTAATAAAAATGACTCTTACTTTAAATTGAAATTCCCCCACAACCAAGATAATCATCCACTTTAGAATAATTAAAAACCTGATTCAGTCGTTGTAGTGGGGTATCACTATCACGTATCGGCCTTGATTGAAAGTCTATTGTACATTGCAAGGATTTCTGGGTATATATCGCCTTAAAGGTCTGTTAAAGATCTATAGCAGCTCATTTTAATACAAAGCTTTCTAGGCACAAGTATGTTAGTTATTACAATATTTGGCTCAGCGAAGGGTTACCGATCCTTATCTTATCCAGCTCTTTCGTGGCAACATAATACAAAAAACATCCTCGATACCTAGAACTTACATCGTTTCTGAAGTAGAAACGTTTCTGTCGTTCAGTCATTTCTGGAATAAAAATTTTATTAATAATTTTTAATATTCGGCTTGATGTTTCTTCCAAATCAAGAAATTTATTCACTTTACAAAGGCGAAAATGTAGTTTGGTTTGCAAGAGTATCCGTTTACGCATTTCTGAGAAAGAATTACGAAAAATACATTTTTAATCCAACATGAAAATTGTCCAAATCCAAGTTATTTATTGACTTTACAACCGCAAAAAGGTTTGGATCGCACGCATAATTCTGCAGTGGGTGCATGTCACAGCATGAACAATTGTTATAATTATGAGCAATGCGTGAATAATTGTAGTAACTGCAACTAAAGCATGGAAAGTTATAATACGAGGGCGGTAATTAACAATGAAGCTTGGAAAAATGTTGAAATAAACAAAGAAGTGTGGAAGTGAGAATCATGCCATTCACAACCGCCATAAGAATTTACACTCTAAAAATAAAGCATTTCTATCATATTACAAATAAGACCGTATTCATGGATCAATTATGAACCGAGCAAAAATACTATAAAATGACTAACCAGTAATAAAAAATTATAAATTTGATCATTTATTAACATTCTAATTCGGTGAACCACGCTAGGATTAATAAGTAATTAAATTCCATGATTATTTTTTTTCCTATTTATCTATCATGATAAAATCTAGAAGGACGTTGATGTTTTCTTTCAGTTGAAAGTATTTTCATTGGAATTTTTACTGCCTCACTATACGTTTTGGTTCACCTGGAGAGAACTTTTCGGTCAGCAATATATTTTGTCTGAATGGAGTTTGGACTTGCTATTTTTAGGGCAACGCCGGTGAAAAGAAGCAGTGGCCGACCAAATTCAGAGAACTTATTTCTTTAAATTAAATATCTGCAAATATTTAGATCGGTCGGCAATGTTCGTTGGATTTTATCATGATCAAAGGGAATTTACTAGTAAATGAACTCAGTTTTTTCCGCATTGTAAGCTTCACAGCAAAAATTTCAGCAACGAAGGCCACGAGAGCAAGAGAGAGGCCACCGACGAGCATCATGAACACCCCTAAGAGATGGTGAACGCTCAGACTCTTGACGTCCGACTCTGCAGGACGTTTATTCCTGTCTATTTCTTCACGGTGACGATCCCTGAAGTCAACTATAGTATCTTTCTTCCACTTTTGAGTGATGCCAGACTCAAAAATATGTAGGATAACATTTGAAAAAGTTTCACGAAGAGGTGAAAACTTCTGGATCCCAACCCCGATGTTGTACGGAAGCAAGCACTGGCCTACAATCCTAATGCTTGCGGTGTCTCCGTACGTGTAGCGTCCCTCAACAAAAAGCTCTAAGTATTGCTTGTTCTCAATGATGGCAAATGTGCCTGCTTCCACGTAATTAAATAGATTTTCCAAGTCGTACCTGGGTTCTAGACGCGGTGCCAATGATCGGATATCACTATCGATGGAGTCTGAAAACTGAGTCTCCCAAAATGGTACACCTCCAATCCTGAGTGAGCTTTCTTTAAGTTGCTTTATCGTATTTATCGGTGGCATCTTCGGAACGATGGTCAAGAAGGCAATGAGGTTGGCAGAGTAAGCGGTGGTCATCAGAGTTGCAAACAAACCAAGAAAAGTGAGGTATACTTTTAGGGGTCCAAACCTTGGGAAGATCGATTGCCCACGCACTGTGAAAAATCCCAATATGTACAGACAAGTAAAAGATATAGAATTAAAATGAGCAGACTCCTTTTCCATTCCCATATAAACCAGTCCATAGAGGGTTACAGTTGCAACAACGAATGAAAATGCGACGAATGCCCAAGTTTCTGCTGAAAAAGGTAAAATCGGTGACGTCCACTGCGGCAAGGACTTGGGCGAAGCTGTCACGAAACAACCGTTTTCAAAGTTGTAAGGCGCTGTGTAGTCAATGAAAAGCCATCGTCCCTCTTCGATGAAAAAATTACATATTCCAATGTCGGCTTTTTCGTAGATGAGTTCACCCATCAATCCCAACCATGTTCCATTTTCTAGCTGATAGCCCCAGAGCTCATTCGCGTTCACTTCACTATACAGAGACTTGAAATTGAGAACTCTTTCCAATGACGCCAGCAAATTCATGTCTATCCCCAAACGTTCATTGATGTTCATATCTTTATCAAAATGGTACAGCACGCTTGGTGGGTGCTCGAAGGTGGATACTCTCAGCACTGCACCTTCAAAATCTGTCAATTTATCTTCAAAAAGGGCTTTAGCGTTCGAATTCCAATTTTTAAGAGATGTGATCAAGCGGCGATACACTCCTGTGTACGGATTGTCTTTGTAAAACATAATTTCACCTTTCTCGCTAAATTCAACTCGTAACAGTCTTCTGCTTTGTTTGAAAGCGTATGATTTACTCAGTTTCATAAGCCGCTCGTTGTATCCTAGAAAAACCAGAATATGAAAAGCATTATGGTTCCAGAGAGGATGCGGGTGGTCACTATGCGAGACTTGGTAGTGGTTTACAGACGAGTGTTGCTCCAGTGGCTCACTCTCACTGACCAAGAAAATGTTAGCATCACAAGTGCTTGCCGACCAGGTCCTTGGATCCGAAAGAATTTCTTCAGAAATGTTGAAAATCTGGGGGAAAATTTAGAATGCATTTAGAATTAGAAATTCAGTAATTTACCGAATCAATTTAACAATTTTCATTTTAAATGCACACGTACCTGAGAAATACAGTGGGGGGAAATAAATATTCGTACACTTGAAAAATCGTATTTTAATGTATGTAAGTACACAAACTTAACAGGGAAAGTGATTTAAATTATGTATAGAGACGCATAGTATTCAAAANAATCGCGAAGATGCGCGGCTGCTACACGCACAAGAGCATCTGACACATCAGCCGAAGCGGCATCCGAAGGAACAAAAACCGGGCTTTTTGTCTGCAAAATGTATGCACGTCATTAATAGTTGCAGTTTTCCGAAATAAATGATTTTCATCTAACTTCATCAAATAACACAATTGGGTATAATAGAATTTAAATTCGGTATTCGTCATATGATGATGATGGTAAATCAATATTTTATTAATGTGCGTTGCGAACGAGAATCTGCAGCCGTATCTACCCTACGGCCGAGATGCTCGAGAATGCTACCAAATTGATGCACTACTATAATACGTAGAATGTCTAACGCACCAGCCGAAGTGAACAGGTGCCATAGAGGTATGATATAAAAGAGGATTTTTGCAAAGCTAAGTGAACTTCATCAATACGTATAGGAAGTTCAACGCACCAGCCGAAGTGCCGGCACCATCCAGCTAAGATGGTATAGCACTGCTGTTAGCAGTAGACTCCTCATGCCGTCACGCTACTTTTGCTGTCCTTTCTGCTCTTGTTCCAAAAAGTTTCATTTGCAAAGCATTATGTGTTACTCATTTCAGTGAAGATGCTCGTCAAAAAACAAGTACTCACTCCAGTATACATGGAGACTGGGAGAAGACTTGTTCGACCAACGTCCGGCCTCTCAGCTTTATGCGATAGCCCATGACTTCTAGAATATTTCAATCACGAATCGATTGAAATGTTACGTGTACATGCAAGCAACTTTTATGAGTCCGTGTGACACTTTGATGTCGATGACATCTCGATTTCAGCGTTAATTCGATACCCCGATGTCAGTGAGTAACTTCCTCATGTTAATTGGAGTGTTAAAAACCAAGCCGTTTCATGAATGAATGAAGTTAGGCAGAGTTTGTCAAATCGGTCGGATCTGTGATCTGTCGGACTGTAAAGATCACGTCAATCATTTCGTTGCGTTGAGTTCCAGGGTTGCAAATGATTTATGATCGAGCTTGTGATATGATCGCTCCGAGCATGAACATGTTCAAGAACAGAATAAGCAACACTATGCCGGAGCATATGTTCATTATTGAAATGTCCAGCACCCTAAGAAACAAATGAAAGTCAAGTAACGATTTCAAACCAGCGTCAGTTAAAAAAATTTGGTCAACTGAAAAGATCTCGTCGACTGAAAAGATATGATCGACTGAAAAGATCTGGTCAACTGAAAAGATCTAGTCAACTCAAAAATCTGTTCAACTGAAAAGATCTGGTCAACTGAAAAAATCTGGTCAACTGAAAAGATCTATTCAACTGAAAAAATCTGGTGAACTGAAAAGATCTGGTCAACTGAAAAAATCTGGTCAATTGAAAAGATCTGTTTAACTGAAAAGGTCGGTTCAACTGAAAAGATCTTGTCAGTTGAAAAAATCTGGTCAACTGAAAAGATCTTGTCAACTGAAAAAATCTGTTCAACTGAAAAGATCTGTTCAACTGAAAACATCTGGTCAACAGAAAATGTCTTGTCAATCTGTGAATAAGTCACAAAAATTACAGAAATCGACGACGGGCCTAAGCTGACCTATACAGTATATATATTCTTCAACGCCGAGGATACTATGCATAACAAATCATGCTCTGTGTCTTCAATCTTCACTCAAACTAATTTAATAAATGTAGGTAAACCTCTTACTTGAATTTCGAAGTTTGGTAAACTATTTTCGTTTATTAATCTGATGATTATTTTTTGACGCGAGGCAAATAGCTTTTTGATTGCTCAAATGGACGAAGCGTTCGCCTGGTTAAATCGTAACTAAAGAATTTCCTTAAGAAGTTACAGAGCAACAGATATATATGGTAAACAATTTGATACGGTAAATACTTTGTACGAAGTATTCTGTCGCAGAATTAACTCATATTCCAAATATTTTGAACGTCATGTATGTAAATCTACGCGCTTTAGATTTTTCTTGCGTAACGTATATACACAAATTGCTACTTCGCTCCAATTTTAAAATTTAGCTTTACTATCTATTCATAAACGTGTGCAGAAATTTTTAAATCAAAACACGTTTGGATCCCAAGCAGATTACGACAGAAAAAAGTAAAAATTATTATAAAAACAACTCTGTTAACTGGCAAATATTTCAGTGTCGGTGTTGCCTGAAGGAAATGATTTTGTTTATGCATTTATTTATGCAAACGATTGCATAAAGAATTTTGATTAGAATCGACGTGTGCATTTATTTATGCATACGTCGATTCTAGTCAAAGCTCACAGCAGAAAATAAGTGAATCATAATCTGGGATACATCAGTTATTCCACATCATTTGGTTTTTGCGTTTTGGCATGCATGGAAAATCTAGTATAAAGCAAGATAGCATGCATCACATTGCCTTTAATTGTTATCCAACGCTGAGGCGCACTGAAATTAAGCCCATTAAATAAAGTGTATTAATTTCCCCAAGAAAGGTGTATTGCGCGGACCATGCTACGCCAAAGAATTACTTCACTCTGGCGTTGTGAGAATATACACACAATATTATCACTATTTTTCTCTAATATAAACCTATAATAACTTCCCCTCCAAAATAATGGCGATATTTTCATATAATATTAACCCAAAATTTCTCCCACCTTCATGCTTACACTGCAAGGGTACTTACTTTCGATCGCTTTTAACATAAGCAAACTACCAATTCGTACGCTGGAGGCTACCTCAATTAATTCCTACCAATAAAGTGGACAAATATTTCTTTTTTATACGATTGTAGTAGTAAATTCAACTTATTAGTGAATTTTATTTTGAATAATTCGTATTGTTGTGACACAGAGGTAAAAAACACAACTACAAGAATATTATTCACATTTAAACAATATATTTCTTATTAATTTGTCCTCAAACACGGCTCAGTAAAGAACAAATGCACCTGTCATATGACTGATCAAGCATAAATTCTTGTTTTTATTCGAAATTATTTAATTCTTATCTAGGAGTGAAATCTTGAAAATATTGGCTAAAACCTGGAGTATTGTCCGAACGCGCCCGATTATTTGCTTACAACATAGGAAATACCGAATTTAAAGTACTGGGGATAATAAATGGACGTAGAACAAGTATAATCAGTGTTAATAAATGGCTAAACCTGTGCAATTCTGGACAGTTTTTGGAGCCGCATTCGCATGTGTCTGAATTATTTTGCTCTTAATACATCAATGCTGAATTTGATTTAACTTCAAATAAAAACCTAATAATATTTGTTGACAAATGCCGAAGAATTATTCAATGTCTGGTCGAAACTGTCACAATAGACCTAGCTTATAATTCACGAAAAAAATCCGTAACAAATGAAATATGAACGTTATTCCACTATTTACGTTTTATTTGTCCTGCCAACCCGTGAACGTAAGTTTTTAACTTAATTTTTATTTAATATTTGAATTATTTTTTGCAATTTTAAATAAGATCTAACATGACATGATAAGCTGTATACAATGTATAAAAATGCTTTTGCTTCAATGGAACAGCTTGATACTTCGATGCATGCGCAAAGCGCTGACATGTTGGCTGAGTTAGAGGACGACGCAGGCCGGCTGAGTCTCGCCCTGGTAAGCATCACAGACAAACCTCAGCAGATTGTGTTCCATTTGCTGCTGAATTTCGTCAGTGTGCACCTGCAGGATAAAGAAAATCATTGGACTACTTACACATGAAAAAATAAGTTGGCTAGTTATATACATGCCTTCACATATATAAAATAATCTATTAAATTTACGATAGAGAGTTTTAAAGTCGGCGGTATATTAGGTGTATGTTTTTTTTGCATTCATGTGGTCACTATTAAGTAAGTCGATTAAATCATTGCATGAATAATTTTTTTTTTTCAATTTAATTAAAAGGCTTGCAGTTAATTCTGTATTTTTATTTTTCATTTTTAAATATCATTTCGTTGAATTTTTTGTGTTACAATGAGTATTTGATCATTCTATAGCCCTACGTTCTAGAGCCATCCCCTACCCCTAACCCTACGATACAGCAGGTAAGAATTACTCAATTGCTGCTGTTGATCATATGATTTAATAATTAATTGAACATACAGCACATAAGAAATATGTGCAGTTGATTTCCTACACAAGGTAAATATTACTGAAGCCGCTCAATATGAATACACACAAATTAAATAACAAGTGAATCTGATATGGGCTCGATTATTTTAACCAAACCAAAATCTCTATATCAATCACAAGTATTATTACTTCACAATCATTAATTATTACAGCGAGGCCTACTGACCCCATCAGACACCATCCAAGGTACGTAGTCCAGCACAGGGTCTAGCGCGAGGGTCTTCACGCCGACCTCATGCAGAAGCTGCTCACCCTCCACGCTCGTCCAGCACGCCGAGATGCTTGTCAGGTAAGAATTACTCAATTGCTGCTGTTGATCATATGATTTAATAATTAATTGAATATACAGCACATAAGAAATATGTGCTTTTGATTTCTTACACAAGGTAAATATTACTGAAGCCTCTCAATATTAATACACAAAAATTAAACATCAAGTGAATCTGATATGGGCTCGATTATTATAACCAAACCTTGTAACTGAACAAGCGAAGAAAGAAATCTATGGGCTATGAAGACAAGAAACCTAGCAAAAGCGTGCTTTTAATGATAATGACCATTTCTATATCGATCACAAGTATTATTATTTCACAATCATTAATTATTACAGCGAGGCCTACTGACCCCATCAGACACCATCCAAGGTACGTAGTCCAGCACAGGGTCTAGCGCGCGGGTCTTCACGCCGACCTCATGCAGAAGCTGCTCACCCTCGACGCTCGTCCAGCACGCCGAGATGCTTGGCCAGACTTCGATCCCAACTTCGGCCGAACACTGAGAAGAGGAATCAACTTAATGTCAACAAATCATCGGGGATACTTTTTATCATTAATGTTGAAGTGAGAAGATTCTGCTGATTATTTGTATGATAATATAATTTTATTGTGACTTTTCATTCCCGGTTAGTAGCTCGACGGTGAAGGAGGAATAGTTAGTCTAGTGATCCGTGATCGAATCTAGACTTCATGTTTCATCTGAACTCATGAAGAGATGGGAGGCTGGAATTCATTTCGGCAATATATGTAAAAAGGATGCGTGTCGACTGTTGAGCAGAGAAGTAGTTTTCGAATGACAGAGTATGAAAATACTGTGGATAGTTAGCCCGAACAATGCTAACGGCAGCGGCGCCGAGTCGTATAATTTACAAACGCATATGACAGAAATTTGAGACGTCAATTAAAGCCGAGAATTTTGAGATGAAAGAAGCTTGAAAAAGTCGCATAAGGAACGACGGGACTGGGCATAATTCTTGAGTCTGCCATTGTTTATGCCGTACTTTCAATTGCTCACTTGTCAAATGCCTACAAGATAACTGACACGAACTTTGCAAACATCTACAGTAAAGATGACGCCCTGTATTCGTTTTTTTTAAATGTGATGCATTTTGAAAAATGGTGTGAAATAGCCAGGCTTGTAGACATGAATATTTAAAATGCTTGTAATTTATAAAAATGACAGCTAGACCTTGCAGAAGCTGTGGGAACTAACGACTTCTCATTTTATCGACGAAAAAAGTGATAGTAATCGTCGGTTCGAAGAAAAATTGCATTTTGCACACTACTCGGTTTTAACGTATTTATCGCCTGACCTTTGCTGCGTGATAATGTCACGATCATTCAAAAATGTCTCAAATGACATACTGAGTGAATAAAAATGCACTGTCTTGACATATGTTTGAAAATAATGTTTGACATTAACCATTACCTGCTTTACAGAGCAGATATGTGAGGTTGTTCTTCTCATGAAGTGCCACTCATATCTACGCCCAGATAAATGAGCACGACTTTGCTTAAACAGAGATGCACTTTTTGCGCGGTGTGGGTCACATTGACCCAGGTTTCCTCTAGCAAAATGTCATTTCAGGTCTACGTGAGGAAAATACGTCAAAATTTGGATAGCACGATCAAATACTTTTTTATGAGTGTACACTGTTAGAAAAAACGGTCCCACTGGCGTTCTAGTGGCAGGTCCCCCCGTGAAAATAAACTGTTTCGCCGTTCTTATCAGATGTTTCACGGATTTCTAGTGTTAAATTAGAATAAAAACGGCGACACGGTGTTTCTTTTGACGTGCCGACCGGCCACTGAAACGCCGGTAATACCGTTAACGGTAATTTTTCTAACAGTGTAGGTTGTCCCAGAGAGATATCAGATGCACGATAAACTCACGGCTTCACCGGAGTTCGGGGGATCATCGCTCGACATGACGCAGATGTTGAAGTCGACGTAGTCTTTCTCTACGGTGATGTATTTCTTGGCGCATGCCAACATTTGGTTGCCCACGCACTCCTGAGGGCCGTGTTGGCAGATGAACGAGTAGCCACCCTCTGCCGTCTCTGTGTCCTGAGTCACAAAATTCATTGTTATATACTTTAATTGATAGGGACGCGGTCTTGGTAAAACAGTGGTACGAGCTGAGTGGGTGCAGTGAAGCAAATGTGTTTACATTAGCTTTTTTGGTATTTGATTAAAGATTCATCAAATAAAAGGGTAAACATTGAAAACATTAAGTTATGAACTGTTATTTGTGAACAACAAACTATTATTTTAGGCCTCAGGAAAGTAAAAGAAAAATATGAGCCAATAATTTATTTTATGAACGAGTCTAAACATGAGCAAGGGAAAAAATTTGATTGTCACTCTGCCCTTGCACCACTACCGACGGCAAGAAGCAAGTAACAGCATCGTGCTTCAGCTGGCCCAAATGAGGGCAGATGAGCGATAATCAGAGGCAGCGATCCACTGTGGCCTACGTCCGAAACAAAAACTAAGGATTAAAGTTGAGATCAAGAAAGAATCAAGAATGAAGGTTGTAACATTTTCAGATTTCAAGTAGACTAAATATTAATTCATTAGCAATTCGACTCAAGTCAAACACAACAAATTAACATTTATGTAAATAATAACAAATCATGCCACCAATAAGAGTTGGATATCATGCACTGCGAAAGCTATTTTGCAGGAGCAAAATCTCATCCATGTTCACACCAGGGTGAGCGCAGTCGTGGTCGAATATCCAGAGAGGAATCAATGTTGATGATCGGCCACGAGCAGGTGTTGAGTGATAATAGGAAGCAAGCATCGTTCCAGGACTTTGATGGCGGGGCAAAGCACGGAGATTGGTGGGTAGGATTTAGCGAGATTGTCCAGTTTGCCGGGTTATAGCAGCAGTATGACTTTGTCTCTACCGGGTAAAACAAGGAAGGCTAATACAAATATATGTTAATCAACATCGGGATGGAGGAATCATCTTCAAACCAGGAAGAAATTATTTGAATGCGGAATGAAATTGAATGCAGAAATGCCAGTTAATAATTATTTTTTCCACCTTACAGCGGGTCAGGTAGGTAATTCCGAGTGGTCCAAGATATTTGAGGTAAAAGATGATGGGTTGGTCTGGTCCAGTGGCTTTAGAGGGATGGGCTTGTTTGATTGCGTTGGCCACTTGTGCCGTTGACAGGGAGGGACTGTCTGATAGGTTGAGGTTCTTTGACTTTCGGGTTGTGATTCTATTGAGTTTATTGGACCTGTGTTGAGCGACAGCCGTGAAGAGACTGTCGAAGCAATCAGCAAGCTTTTTGATATTATTGATGGGTTTCTCATTGAAGTTGATGGCGTTATTGGGGTAGTTTTTTGGCTTGCCGGCAAGGGCCTTTATTATTGACCAGAGGCGTTTAAGATTGGTATGGCGGTTGAAGGTAGAGAGGTATTATTTCCATCAGGTTTTCTTTATGTCGTTGGGGAGCTGGTGGATATGGGCAGTGAGGACTGCTACATCGTCGGAGGTGGGGTCGGCAGCACGGAGGTTGTTTCGCTGTCGGGTGAGGTTGATGATGTCTTTAGAGAGGCCAGGCTTAGAACAGATGTGGCGGCCTGAAGGAAGGTTATGGTTGCTAACGCTGATTAAAAAGTTGGGGTAGAATTTGGGTCTTTTAGGTAGTGGTATATGTCTCGCTAGTTTCTTCAATGCGTTGCGCTTGAATGCATTGCCTGCAACAAAAAATTTTTTATATTATATGGACAACATAATCTGGAGACACTTGTCCAAATATAACTCATTACCTAGGCAATCTGATGAACATAACCAATGAACATAACTGTCATACAAGAATATTTCATTTGAATTGGTAGCTGTGTCCCCCATCACAGTACACCTACAAGGGACAAAAAATGGCTCAGGGATATCAAATATTGTTCAAATGAGAAGGCAGAAATTGAAATGACCTACACTGTATGTAGCCAAAATGTTGATTAATCTGATTTTTCTTACCTGGTCATAAAGATAACGGTCTGGTAATCCTGTTATACTTGCTCCTGTTGTTGTTGTAACTGCTACAGCATTAGATGTTGCAGCTCTTCTTCTAGCTGCTGCAGCTCTTGTTGCCGCAACATCTGTTGTTGTAACTTCTGCAGAATTTCTTGTTGCAGTTTATCTTCTAGCTGCTGCCTCTCTTGTTGTTTCTGCAGCATATGTTGTTGTAACCGCTGCAGAATTTGTTGACGCAGTTTTTCATGGGGCTGCAGGAGTTCGTGATCTTGATGCAGCATCAGTTGCTGCAGCTGTAGTTCCAGCAGCATATCTCGTTCATATGGCAGCCGTTGTTGTTGCTGCTGCAGCTGTTGTTGTATTGTCTGCTGCAGCTGTTGTGGTATTATCTGCTGCAGCTGTTGTTGTATCTGCTGCAGCTGTTGTTGTTGCTGCTGAAGCTGTTGAAATTGTTGCTGCAGCTGTTGTATTATCTGTTGCATCTGCTGTACAGAATCTGCAGAGACAAAAAGCATTTACTATTTAATCACTATTGAACAATTTTTTAAATCAAAACATGATTTTTACTTTCATGTTTGGTTGATATATATCACTATATGTGATCATGACAACACTTCTAAAACAGAAGTATATTGAGACAGAAAAGAGCAAGAGCAGTCGAATTACAATGGAGGTTAGGTAGCACTGGACTTACACATTATGGGGCCAAGCCAGGCAAGTAACAACTTCTCTGCAGGATCAAATGGAGCTTTTGTAAAAATTTTAATCCTCTCCCAAGACTAAACTAACATCATTTATAATTACGAGTCTAGAGAAAAGAGCACAAGTGATTGAATATAATGTAAGCTGCAGTCACACAAATAATAACTAAAAGTCAATCAACACCAATAGAGCATATTAGAGCATAACAACAAACCAGATTACCAAGAATAACCCAAATCATTTAGAATTAACAACATCATACGATTATTGAATGTACACAACACATTCAATACTATTAACACTAGCACAACGATACAACTTGCTTACAACAATACACATATATATTAAATACATGCCCGCACACATCCCTCAAAACACGTCATTCATAACCTATTCCTACTTCCAACCAAAAAATCCATAAACAAAATAACACATCTAACAAACACCCACCATGGAATTTCAAAACACATTTATAATTCTCTCTATCAATCACCAAAATCCCACAACAATACCTTGCATAACTTGACATAACTTATTTTAAAATAACAATATATAATAACATTGCATATCATGACACAACACAACGTAATCTGACATAACCTTACAAAACCTAACCTGACTTGACCTGATCCAACCTAACCTAACATATCCTAACCTAAGCAAACATATAATAACCTAAGCAAACCTGTACTAACCTAACACAAGCCTACCTAACATAACCCAACCTAGCTCAACATAACCTAACCTAACCCAAATGAACCTAAACAAACCTGACCTAACATAGCTTGGCCTACTCTAACCTAACTTAAACAAACCTAAAATAATCTATCATAAAATAATGTATACTAATCTGACCTAACTCATCCCAACTTGAGGGGATCATTTTGATCCCAGAAAAACTTCTACATCCATCAGCTGGTCTTTCCGATATTTCATACACATACATAAAATATTAAATAAAAAACAATTTGCTTCTATGAATTTTTTGAAAAATGAAAGAAGATGCAAACCTAATAGAAAATGGTAAAAAGGGACACTCTAGAAAAGTACATCACTTTAGCAAATCACATGCTACAATGTCAAGAAATATATTTTTCAGTTTATAACAACAGTATCTAATGGCTCTGGAGCCCCAATTATCTATTTTCCTCATCGTTCATCTTTTGTGCGCATTTTTCCATTTTTACACATTGCCAATTATTTGCATTTATGGTACTTGGTACCAGCATGCATCTTCAGACTTATTCCAGTCCAGTTTAACATGAATAATAAGCTAAAAATGGGACTATATATGATAAGCTACTGTCAACTGGGGTGACTTAGGTCACCACTGCAACAGAAACAAATGGCAGCAAAACAAAATAATAAATGTTGGTCAAAGTCACCCCAGTCACTTGGCCAATGTTTATTATTTTGTTTTGCTGCCATTTGTTTCTGTTGTAGTGGTGGCCAAAGTCACCCCAGTTGACGGTACATAATAATCTATATATATATACATCTTTCGTAGTGTAGCACGACGATTTTTGGGTCATATTGCGACAGGTCCATCGCAATATATTTTTTGCTTAACTTTTAGCATACTTTCATTAATAGCGCGACATTTTTGGCATATTGCACAACAATTCATTGCGGTATAACTGTCTCGATATGTACCAATGTCACGGTATTTTTTTATGATTATTTTTAGCTATTATCGCGACAAAAAAAAAGAAGGACCATATTACGGGATATTGTAATTAACACAAATCTCATTAGGTTAGGGTTAGAATTAGGGTAGGAAGTGTGAAAAATGTTTCTATAGACACTTTTTTACAATTTTACTAAGGTTAGGTCCAGTTAGGAAAGGTTCATTTACATTAAATAACTAATTGAAAAATGTCAACTAATCACAGTTGCGGTTCAACACGAATTATATACCGTCAACCGGGGCTACTCGGGACAGGCGGGGCTACTNCGCCATTCGATAGCCCTGTCAATCAGCTATAAAATGAGACTAAACTTGTTTATGAAATATTTCATCGTAAGAAGTTATTAACTGTTATTTTAAACTAATCGTTCAAATCTGTCCCGAGTAGCCCCGGTTGACGGTAGATATAATATTCTTTTCATAGAAGTTCAAAACTGCATTATGCAAAAATCATTAAATGTACATCCGTGATATTTGCTTTCTTGAATGTGCATTGTTTGTAGCTTGCAAACAATTGCAAACACTTTGCAATGAATGCAAATAATGATCTGTAAATACCATTTTTAAATGAAAAATTTGTAAATAGTTATAAATGGTCATTTTATAAAATTTCAAAACTGCATAATTCAAAAATTATTGCATTTACATCCATGGTAGTAGCTTTGTTGAATGTGTCTTGTTTGTAGCTTTCAAACGAGTGCAAACACTTTGCAATAAATGAGAGTAATGATCTACATATAGATTTAATTCAAAGAAATCTTTTTACAATTCAAAAAAATCTTTTTACATATTGTTAAAAAATGTTCATTTTATATATTTTACAATTAAAAAAAACTAGAGCACGCACATACAGTTTATTGCTTTAGACATGCCTTTTGAGCAGCTAAGAAATGAGCTAAAACAAAGAAGCCCAAATTTTCCATTTTTGACCAAAACGATCCCCTTGACTTTCATTGGCCAAACTTAACCTAATATAACATAACAGAACCTATCCTAACCTCACCTAACCTTTCCTAACCATCCCTTACCTATCCTGACCTACCCTAACCCAACATAACCAATGAAAGAATATCTAACTAACCAAAGATTATCTAAGATCATCTATCTAACCAAAGCTAGTATTAAAACCTCTCACTATTGCTAGAAGAGACAAAAAACTGGTTAAAAATATCGGGTAACAGTTTCGATTTGTATTACAGTTAGTAATGTTCTTCACAATAATCGATCACAAAAATATATTTTTATGCAATCTGAAGTCACTATTGTACCTCTCCCCAGTGCGGTTCTCACTGGCAATTTAAGAGAGCAATAACTGGCATATATCCTTGGAGTCCTGAAACCCTATGAAGCCTAATCTGTTGCAAAGGCAATATCTTAAATCTTATTGCATGTTAAATGTTGCTCAGACACAATTTTATTTCTACAGGCATGTTATCTGCCAATGCCTCTACTCATTAAAAGTTTTTGCCACAATTCATTCCAAAATGCAAGACCTAATCAATATTCCATATGGATTAAATAGTTATATATTTGCAGTCAGATAAATATCTATTTATACACCCAATACCACCCACCTCCTCGGAGGAGCAATAGATATAAGGGGGGCACTGTGAGATGGCCAAGGGGCCAGGCAACTGTCCTTTGGCCAGTAACATGTATTTTATCACAGTTATAGTCAGATGGGGTAAGACAGGACCAAAATCACTAACAAGCCTGTAGCATCTATACCATGAATAACTGAAAAACCCTAAACCTATCACAAGGTGTATTTATGCAATGGGCTTCTAAGCTACAACTCACACATTTTGCATCCAACATCGTTTTCTGTACAGATTGAAAAAATGAGCTGGTCCCATCTTACCCCATTGGGGTAAGATGGGACCAGGCTGGGGTAAGACAGGACCAACAGGTAATTCTAATGTTACAAAGTTTTTAATAAAAGTATAAATCTGATATTCAATATTATCCATCTAGAAACACATTATTTGATTAAACAACCACTTGTTACTGTTTTGTGTTGCGGGAAGTCAACTCTAATATCAGTCACATTGGGATTTTTGTCACGAGAAAACTTTGTTAAGCATAGTAATAGTGGGTTGGCTTTGGTTCATTGTAGAGCACTGCTAAATGCTTCATGTATATTCCATTAGTGTCATAATGTCATTGTCTGAAAAATTTATTAAATTGGTAATAAACCAATGGATAATAACTTGAGTCTCAGACATCATGTGTTTTCTTGCTTACTGCATTTGTGGTGCACTTCTTCAAACATAGCTCATGCCCTCTCACAGAGTTGTGATCATAATTATTTTTCATGTTTCACACAACGACTTTTCCCCCAGCCAATGTTGCACATAGTTCTGCAGCTCACTAATGGGAAGAGACATCCCTATTTTCTCCATCCCTTTGATGCAATTTAAAATAGTGCATTAAATTTCTCTAATTAAAACAGCTAATAAGTTATAATGAAGTTTGAGCAAGAGATAAAAATTTTGACCAAAATACTCCATTTGCTGCACAATAATATATTCATTTAAAAACTATTTTTGATTAACTGTAGGGTAAGAGAGGACCATTTATGGGGTAATGTGGGGTAAGACAGGACCATTTGTGGGGTAAGGTAGGACCACTTGTGTGGCAAAACAGGATCATTTAGTGGTCCCGTCTTACCCCATGTCCGGTCCTTTTTTACCCCATTTTAGAATACATGTCAGGCAGTGATGGTAGCAGGTAGAAATGCCTAGTATGTCTCAAAAGTTGCTTATTACTTGAGGTTACCTGCCTACATCCACAAACCTGGCCAAAAATATTTTTGTCATTAGACAGAGCTTATTTCCCAAATAGGGTTAACTATTTTGTGACCCTTCTTCATAGGTTTTCTTTAAAAATTAGCCAGAAATTCATTATTTGCAGAAGAGGGTTGAAACAAACACTGAAATGACAGGCAATGATTGCTCTAACATATTCTTTTGTCAAATTAAATTCAGTGCAATTAGAATGCATGCTATGGGCTGGTCCTTTCTTACACCATGAAGGCTGCGATCCTATCTTACCCCATTTGACTATATAGCAATCATGGACTGAACTTTGCACAAATTTTGTTCTTTTTCTATTTCTTTAAAAAAGTCCAAACAATGGCCAAATTTTGTCTTAGGACATCTCATAGAACACATCTGAGGGAATTTTTTCAACCAAATAAAGATTTTTTCACACTGCCTAAAAAATGTATTTTTTTAGCCATTTTGTTATTCAAGATTTGCCTCTATTCTTGAAAGTAGTTCATGCAAACACTAACTTTTTTTAATGGCATTCTAGAGAACACATTTAAGGTGTCATCTTCAATTAAGTAAACATTTTTGTAGGTTGCCCTGCAGATGTATTTTTTTGCAGTTCTGCCAATCAGCGAATTTAATTTTCAACAGCACTTGAACTTTGCACAATTTTTTTCATTTCTCTTGAGACATCTTATAAAACACATCTGGGGGAATTTTTTGACTAAATAAAGATTTTTTCAAGTACCATAAAATGGGGCAACTTAGACTACTTTTTTCTAAAATGATGCCATTTTTTACTAGCTAAATTAACCTTAAATTTAAACTAGCAAAATTCAGGTCTATACTCTAGGTTCACTCACCATAAATTGCTGGCTCCTGCCTCTCATAGGTTTGATGTAATTTAAAAAAAAGTAATTGTCTTTGTTACCTCAGCTCTTGGAGTATCTTAGACTGGGGGGGGGGTAAAATCAATTATATTTTTTGGTAAAATAACTCCAGGTTTTAGTGCATTGTAGTAGACTCTTCTAGTTACATATGCAAATGACAAATTTGAGGAGAGTGTCATAGTTTGCAAATGGGGCGCCGCCCCCCAATAGGGAACTTAGACCACCCAATGTCAGCTGTGAAGGGGTAATATTGACAGGTTTGGAAATTAGGTTAAAATTAACATATATAAGATTCCGTAGTCCGAAACATAAAGAAAAAACATTAATAGGTGTATCTAACATGAAATATGTTATATATGGTAATTTTAAATTAATTTCCAAGCCAGTCTATGTTAG